CAGTCTCTTGAATTCAGGGGCCCGGACACAATTCCTTCAGGACTGACCCCTCTCTAGAGGAACCAATTGTGAAGGGTACTATTTTTTTTTTTTTTTTGAGATAAGGGTCTATTTCACCCTTGGTAGAGTACTTTGGTGTCACAGCTCACAGCAACCTCAAACTCTTGGGCTTAAGCAATTCTCTTGCCTCAGCCTCCCAAGTAGCTGGATTACAGGTACCTGCCATACTCCTGGCTATTTTTTTGGTTGCAGTTGTCATTGTTTAGCAGGCCCGGCCCGGGCTCAAACCCACCAGCCTTGGTCTATGTGGCAGGCGCCCTATAACCACAGAGCAACGGGTGTCGCCTGTGAAGGGCACTAATACACGTCGCTATTAACTCATCAACATGGGCCTCTGAGTTCCTGTTCCCACTGCTCTTTCTCCCTCAAGCAGCCACCGTGGAGATCTCAGGTCAGCAGCAACCCAGGTACCAAGTCCTACTGCTGAGCCTGGCTGTTCTGGGGCCACCACTGGTCTCCAGCGACCCACACCTGGAGTAGGGTTACACAGAGGAAGTGTTGCTTGTGAAGTCTGCACACCAGCTGCACATGACTCCAACACAGACATCTACTCCTGGGCAGGGAAGGGTTTAGAGCAAAATTTTTGCATTAGCACATACGGAGATTCCATGGACCCTCACTGACATGGCCATCTGAAGTATATACCAGAATCCGTGAACCTATGCTTCTTTTTTTGGACCTGTGGAATGTGCATTTCCCCTAATGGTCATAATATTTTTAATTCCTTTAGGTCTGTTTCCCCTCTAGACCATAAATTTCTTTAGGGAATCGTGTATTTTTTTTTTTTTTTTTTTTGAGACAGTCTCACTTATCCCTGGCTAGATAGAGTGCAGGGGCATCATCACAGCTAATTACAACCTCAAACTCCTAGGCTCCAGTGATTCTCCTGCCTTGGCCTTGTGAGCAGCTGTAACCACAAATATGTGCCACCCAGCCTGGCTAATTTCTCTATTGTTTTGTAGAGATGGAGTCTCACTCATGCTCAGGTTGGTCACTAGCTCTTAGCCTCAAGCAATCCTCCCACCTAAGCCTCCCAAAGTACTAAGATTACAGGCTTGAGTTATCACGCCCAGTCAGGGATTATACTTTTTTTGGCATTGTATTTCCTACCTCACTGTTGTCATGTGTTAGGTGCTTAAGGGTTTTCTGGTTCCCTTTTGTCGGGGAAACAAACATGGTGTCAGATACCACTATACAAATGAGCAGCTCATGTGTTTGCCAAAATTAAAAAGTGCCTAGTGAACAGTGAGATACGACTAGAAGATCCAGCCTGGGTAAAAGACTGCCTGTCTGTAACTTCAGTTTTGTTTAGGCCTAGTAGTTGGCCCATTCCTGTTCAATGAACCCCCGCCCCCAAAAAGGCTCTTGGCCTTTGAGTAGCTGCTCGAGTGGCCTTGTGAGTTTAAACTTTCTAAACCTTTTCTTAAGTTTCACCAGTCAGGAATCTGCTCAGACAGCAGCTCCCCAAATTTTCATCTCAGTGAATTACACAAAATGATTTCCATTCTACAGTACATACTGCCTGGCAGACTGATTATACTTGAGGGGAAACCAATTCAGTCACCTTTGAAATCATTACTTCTCTTCCTGTCTTCCATTTGCCAGGCACAAAAAAATTGGTCCACAGTATTACGGGAACAATTCAGAAGTACTCTTGAGTTTACTATTAATGTCTGGAAATGTATATGCAACTATCTCTATTTTTCTCTCCTACATCCAGCCCATTTTTAAGTACCATCATAATTTTCTTAAAATTTGACGCAATAGCCTGTACTTTAAATAATTTTTAGTCTTGTTCCTCGGTTCAACAGACCTTTAAAAGGCCTGCACTGGTCCCTGGATATTCAAATTGCTCACCCAGGAATTCAAGCCATAGGCAGCACATGTTCCCAACAGGTCAGACTCTGGAGCTGGACTCTCCACATCCACTACTCAGATAATGGTACTCCATGCAATTTTTTTTTTCTTAACTAGAAGAATTGGGATAGTACCTACTTCCATTGGGTGGTTATGAGGATTAAACGAGTAAATACATGGAAAAGTGCCTAGTATACAGTGGGCACTGGAGACATATCACCATCTGATTCTCGTCTGTCAAGAACGTAAACTCCACAACGGCAGTTTTTGTGTTTTTCATTATTGTCTTCCCAGAGTCTAGAATAGTGCCTGGCATATACCAGACATTCAAATATTTATTGAGTCAATCCATTATATATTCAGTTTGTCGAAACTGAAATACTCTCTATTCTCCAAATATTCTTAGTTTTCCAGCCCAGTGGTCCATCCTGACGCTAACCACTTCTGTTGGGCCAGTCATGACTACTCAATGCCCAGCTCACACAGCTCTTTAAGAGGCCTTTCCTGATCATCCCAAGAGGAAGTAATTTTCTCCTGGGCTGTTTTTCGTGGTACATCACGTGAACTACTTTTAGCCCTCAACAGTTTTATCGTCACTAGTTTGTGAGCTCCTTGAGGAACTTACTATGACATTACTCAAGACTAGACTATCACCTGATAGTGTGCTTGTTGCACAACTGGAAACATAAATTTTAAAAATGGGCAGAAGATTTAATAGTCTATTAGAGCATTATCTCATTGTGTCAATCTTCCTAGGATTCCTTTCTCTATGAAGACGGAAGTCCTGCAGTGGGGCTGTGGGTAGGGAGCTCAGAACCAAGAAGCAAAGACAATTTCGAGCCCCAAAGAATATGGTCAACCCTATACACAGAGAATATTTCCTAGTTATGTCCTCAACTCCACTCGTCACCCATGGTCACAGAGCAGGATCTGGACTTAGGCTTGAAGCATATAATTAGGAACAGTAACAATACCCACATCCAGTAGGATTCAGTATGACCAAACAAGATCATACATGACAGTGTTCTGACATTTATTACAGATTAAAATATTATTAAAAAACAATTAGCCTATTTATATAAAACTGGGGATGGATAGGTATCCTGGTGTGTATACCAATGATAGAACAAGGCAGAAGAACCTTGTGTACCTATGTAGATACCCTGAGTAGACCTGAGTTTGAACTATTTTGAAGTATTCAATAACAGTATGTCTCTAAATAAGGTGACAGTAAGAAAAGACCACGATCTTCTTAAACACAGTATTTAAGGAAATGTTGTCTTTAAGGAATGTTAACAATTTACCAGTTGTACTTATATTTTGTTTTAGTCCTCATAACCAAAAGGTGATGCTAACTCATGGTTTATTTTACATAAATCCTATGAAGGTCATGGGAACTGGTCTCATGATAAAATATAACATACTTGGGAAATATGGGGAAATGAAAGTTTAACAGGTTCCTCAGTGATGTCATAGCCTTTCATATTCGGGTAACACGTGTGTAGCAAAACACACTCCCAGTTCACGTGATGTGGAAAAACTGTAACACCACGTGCCACAGGCTGCTCAACTATTGTTGAATTCGGTAAACTTTAAATTGAGAAAGACTGTCACAAATATAAAAAGACCAAATACCAACAGCTTAACACATTGACTGCCATGTGAGTTGTATTTAACTTCAGGAGCACAGGGCCTTATGAAGCATATATAACTCATGTATCTCTTGACCTAGAGCTTGACCTGTGGCCCCAAGGAAAAAACATTTTTTCCTGGTGTGGCAGTCAATGTGTTAAACTGAAGAGGGAGGGCATGACAGACATTCTGCCAGGGCCACCATGTGTAAGTGCATGTGGACCCTGGAGCCCAAGGAGGGCTGCACAGTTACCCACAGTAATGGCTGCCAGGACCAGAGAGGTGTCTGGCTGCCATCAGATGGGGTAACAACATGTCACTGGGTGTGTTAAGAAACGGAAATCAGAGGGGATTACACTTAACTCACCAGTATACTGGTCATCCCTGTACTAATCACCTAGGTTTCTTTTTATTACCAGTTATTGTTCTTTCTCTTCCTCTGAAACACTATTTTCCTGCTTATTCCAGCTGGGCAATTCATTTACTGAGCTACAAAACTTTATAATTTGGGCATCTATTAAAAAAAATTATGTAAAGTACTCCTTATCAGGTTGTACGTAAATACTACTACTATACTTCTCAAATATGTGGGATGTTCTTCCAAATCTAAACATATTCTAAGTGTTTTGCTAAATCATACTCAAAGTTAACTAAAGGCTGTATAATGCTGGCTCACAGGATCCAGGATGAAGGAGGACTTCAAGCCATCCAACATGAATTGTACCACCCTTTGGAGCAACTTCCTAATAAGCAGTGCAGTGCACACAAAGCTATAGCTTTGAGCTAAAATGTATGACCACTGTATTTTATAGCAGAACAAGGAAAGCATCAATTTCAAGCTCCACAAAATGAGCGTTCTACTAACTTACAGAAAGTATATGTAGCAAAATACGAACTGTGTCAGTAATCAAAGATATCAAATATACATAACAAACACAGAAATAAATAATTTTCAAAGACATCAACCTACTTCTTATTTAAGGACCTAACACTTAAATTTGTGAACATTTTTATTTATAAAACAGTAAGTAATACTCTTTACTATTACAACTGTTCTATTTTGGAGATCATGACAGTGTGTTTCAGAGAAACGAAATCCAACGACATTTTGTCATGTTCTTCTCAGTTTCTCTCCTCTGTGCTGTTACAGGTAATCAAGTCATCGAAGAATGAAGCACACACAATTCTGCTTGGACACTACACTGATGGGGACAGCGCATGTGAAGAATAAAGAACATAAAGTTCAAAGAATTATACCCATAATTCAAAAGTTCTAAATGCCAAGCCTAACTTTAAGAAGCAAAATTAACCTTAAATCTAATCTGTCTACCACAGTTATTATAATCACCTTTATTTCTAGTACTTGTTCTATTGGAATACCATTTAAGAAGCCAAAAAAAAAAAAAAAAAAAAGAAAAGGTTTCAAATATTATCAGTCGTTAAAAACAACAAAGAGTTTAAGGAAAGAATATATTTGAGCCACATAAACAAACAAAGGTATTACATAAGAAAAATAATGTAACAATTTATGTAAGTACCTAAGGTATAAGCATGCTCTTACATCTAAAACAAAAAATAAAAAGGTAACATTGGTACTATATATATATATTTGACAAGTGTGCATTAAAGAATTCTCTAATATAAAACATTTAAAACGTGGAGAATACTTTTCAAGATACAGAAAACAACTGTTATGATAGGCACAGGCACACCCACAATTCTTATAAAAACATGCTTGCAAAGATAAAATTCATCTGAGTATTCATTTCTCAGATGTACAAAGCCATGAAATTGTTGATCACTGGATATTGCCTCCCACTTTTGCACTGTTTTGAGTTTCAACACTGACTGGTATGAATTCTGAATTACACAAATAATTACTCTCATTGTTCAGTCTTTCTGCCATGTTCCATGTAGAATGCCTCTATGTAATATGAATACTTAAGATAGCAATATTATTTGTATCAAAGTCACTTCCTTATGTTCATTTTTATTTAAAGGCACTAGTTTTAGAAAACAGTTATTAGAACAAATAGTGCTTGAAAGATCTGAAACTCCAAATCGATGTGCACCATCAACTATAAGTAGATCTAAGAAGCCCTAACTAAAAAGAACACAAATGTAAAATGATGATAAATTTAAAGATTATAAAATTGGTTTATTGTAAAAGCAATTTAAGAATACCCCGTTAAAATCTTATCCCAGTGCTGCCCAGTATAACCAAGAAGCAGTTAAACACTTTTACATTAGGAACAAGGACATAAAACAAGAACGACCACATCAAGGCTGTGATTTAAACTCAGAAGAGAGAGGACTCTTAGGTCTCCTTCAGGTCAGTACAGAGGGCGTAGGGTCTAAGTACTGTGCCAGGCACCACGGTGCTGCTACAACATTGAGGTAAATTAAATTCAAGGGGAAACCAAGATCTCCGTATTCTTCTTTTGTAGGTGTACTTAAGCAACTGAAATTTTAGGAACAACTGCCTTCAATGACAGCAAGATATAAGACAAGTCTTTATTAAAGCGAAAGAAGTTTATAAAGTATTCTATCAAGTTCCCACTAAATCTTCACAACCCTTCCCCCCACATCTCCCCACCCTCCCCCTAAGCTAACGCTACTCTGCTGATACATAAGATCCATTCTTAATTTGTGGCTTATTGACAAATTATAGGCACTCCTTCCAAGTAGCTTTGATCTTCTGCACATTAAAAACAAAAACCCAACATGATATCATCAATATACTCAATTTTGCATTCTAGGTAGAATTTCATCATCACTCTAAAACTCAATGCATCTGTACAGTGGCCATTTCCCCCGGACTTAACTCAAGATTTAATCTTTCTGTTGTTTTCCTAGTAAAAGCCTTGGAGTTAATTACTATGAATGAGCGAACTGTGAATTATATACAACACAGTGACTGCATTTTTTTTAGCACTGAAAAGTACTTAAAAATAAAACAACTTACTTCCAACTTTGCACTCCTCCAAATTGAAGGGCCAAAATACTTAGATTTCGTAACTGAAAAAAATCTATCTTCCCAAGCTATGCTAGGTTTTGCATAGCAGCTTTAGCCAGGAAAGAAGATTTTGTATTTGTTATAAACCCTTGAAAATAAGGGCTTATTCTAAAACCATTGAAAGACCCTTAAATCACAGAGGGGCTTAGCTGGTACCACACTTCTAATTCATAACCAAGTGTTACTTCATAGCTTATTCTGAAGACTTGATTCATGCTCATTTTGTTCCTTTAAAAAATACTCTTTGGAAACCATTATTTCTCCTGTAGACACACACTCTAGTTATATCTCTTCCTGTAAAAATAAAGGAATAATCATTATTATCTCTATTTCTTTGCTAAATTCAACTACCAATATACATTTATCAATCTGATCACTTTACCAGCTAACTCATGACCTTACAGTGTTCTATATACTAGCCAGGGTCAATTTTCAGCATATAGAAGTAGGAGCAAATCTTCAAAGTGAGAAGAATATTATAGGAAACATTTCAATCTAGTCTTTAATGTGTTCATTACAAATGAGAACTAAGTACTACAGTTTACTTCCAAAACTAAAGTGAAGGTAAACTCCCAAAGCTAAAGAAAGGTAACCTCTAGAAAGCTTCCTTCTGTCATGTAAGATATAACGTACTCAGTGATTTCCTATCAAGACTCAAAACTGGGAGTCCAAGGAAGAAAATAAAGCCATTTCTTATTTGCTCTTTCCCAATTCATCAGAAACTATTGTGTGCACAGAGGGCATAGAGCACTATCCATAGTAAAAGCCCTTTCTACAACACTAGGCTACTTCAAACACTGGCAGACTGCCTCCCCCAGATTTAAACTACTAAGCCATGTGTTCTAAATGCATTTATTCAAAGCTACCATTTTAAAAATAAATTGGAAAGTAGAGAAACCTTAAAAAAAGATACATTCTGCTATCACGCTATTATAAACATTGTGTGTAGAAGAGAGAGCAGAAATAGTCCAAATTTAAATAAGATGGTAAAAAAACAGGAAATATAGATTTTACCAAAAGAATTCCAACTGTCCCAAGCTACAACTATGAACAGTTTTCACTAATATGGTAATTTGCCTAGGTTCTGACAAAACCAACCAACAAAAAACCACCCACACAAATATCCACCGAAACCTACACTAGAGTATGTGGCAATAATTAATATATTTCTATGGAAATTGTCTCATGCCTTATAAGCTCCTAAAACAAAATAAGGTCACTATGTGACTAACAGATACCACCAGGAGGAGAAGGAAATGCTGAGCCTTGGTTTCAGCTGTCTCTGCACATCAGCACTAACAGTTTTCGCTTGTCAGACCAGTAGGTCATGTTCTTCCACTGGCCAAAGGCAGCTGAAGAAACAATTGCTTGAGCAAACTAAATGCTGTGACATGAAGCATCTGACTTCCCAGTTTGAGTTAACAATGATCGGTGAACATCTAACTGGGCAAAAGGAATGGCATCCATCATCCAAACAGGCTCACTCCCCCCGGCCCCCAAACGAACAGTAGTTATAATAGCAAAAGAAACAAAAGTTTTTTTTTTTTTTTGATTCTTAGAGCCAACTGTGAAAGAGTCAGCAATACATCAACAGCAGCAATGGACAAGGAAGAGCAGAATGTGGATGAGAGAATCTTGCTGGACGTTTGTTCATCTTTTTCTGTATTAGCCAGAAAACTGCAACTGGCTTATTTGGAAATTTCAGGTATATGTCTTATCTCCTTAGATCCTTCACAGATTTAGAATTCAGTCTACCTGAGGGCTCTATAACCATGTAAGAAAGCTTTCTTTATCTAGCTTGGTGGCGGCCAACACAGACTCCATGTCGTTGAGGATGTCGGAGCTCAGAGCTTCCTGCAGACTGGGCATCAGCTCCTCCCCTTCTATGTTCATTCCATCGCCCTCCAGTGTTCCAAGGTCCACGTTTGTCCCAGGAATGGCTTCAAGGTAGTCTGGGAAACGGTTCTGCTGTGACGGCAGGGTGCTTTGGTTAATAGTATCACCTAGTTGGGACAGAGAGAGAGAGAGACAATAAAGTACTTTTTGAAAAGCTAACACCAGAGCTGCACATAGAAGTGCAGAGAGAAAGGAGAGAATTCTTGACTGACCTGATGCCCAGAATTTAGTTTAGGCCAAACAACCCAGAGATAACAAAATTATCAATGGGGAGTTTACGTCTGCTTCAATATTTGTCTAGATATTCAACTAAGCTGACTGCTGATTATTATGTGTCGAGTACCAAAGAGAGTCATGGGGGGTGGCGGGACGACAAACAAAACAAAAAAAAACCTTGGAAAAAAATGATACGCAGCCAGGGCACCGGTGAGGGGGGAGAATGAGTACCCCAAGCAATACCATCAATATCTGTCTTCCAAATATGCACCACCATAATAAAATTAAATGCAAAGATGAACGGTATGGACTTGCCTTGCCCTCACATACACTTTGGAATGCTTCAATACTCTTCCCTTGGAGACTTGTATTTGTAATAGCAAAACAAGCCTCCCAGAAGTCCTTTAATAAATAAATCTTCTTAGCCTTGCTTCCAGGTTCCTCACATTAAGATTCCTCAGAGCTTCAATAGACATTCTTTCTAAAAGTCAATATAATCCATTAAGTGCTACAGAGGTTTAGAGAAGACAGGAATGAAGACTGGGGGGTAAAGGTGTTATATGTGAAGTATGTTTCAAGTACCTTCTAAGGATAATTTAAGATCTAGGTAAGCAGAGAAGGGGTGGAACAGGTTCTAAGAAGCATCAAAGCCGCCTAGCTGGATAAGCACAGGCATAAGACTTGCCCAAACACATTGTCAGAAGATGTCAGCTGAAGAGCCAGCCAGCTAGCAAGGGAACAGCTTCATCTCCCTACAAATACATGTGCTCTGGCAATTGTCAAGTTCAGAGCAATGATCACCAGTCAAGCCATAGGAGAAACGACTTCTTAACTTCCTCGGTGAAGGAAGGCGGTATTTCGTAGTTCCTGCAAGACCTCTAGAACTATTCTAACAACAAACAAGGGGCCTCCTGCAATCCACCCATTCTCCCCTGGTTTCCTAAGACCCCTAATATCTAACGTAGACCAAAAACCCTAAGAGAGGAGAGGGAAGCAAACACTGAATCACGTATAAAAATTTCTCTCCAAAAATTAAGAACACAAATCTATGTGTAATGAAGAGAGCCTTCTAACAGGCGCCTTAACTGCCTTCAACACTAAGTTAAGTCATGTCACCAGTTTTACTCAAATAGAGTGATATATCATAATGTTTAAAAACTGGAGAAAGATTTAAATTGTAAATCATCATACAGAAACAAAGCAGGCTTGATTTTAATTTAGGTTTACAAGATTTTCATTGGGTTTCTTCTGAACAATCTTTGTTCACAACAGCATATTAGACCTGGTGATAACAGGACTGCACCTGACTAAAACGTTATTAAGAGGAATAAAGAATACCAACCTGTATCCATCTCATCAACGCTGTTGAGGAAATCATCTGGGGTCCGAGGGACACTGTAGCTGCTCATGCTCAGCCCACTGTCTGTACTCTCATCTCGAGAGTGATAGGTGCCACTATAAAATAAGACAGTGAAAAACCAACACGCACATTTTAAAACTCAATTCGAGGTAAAGTAAGCACCTGCTGAGTAGCAGCAGGATTTTCAGAGCAGGTCAGTGAAAACCCCTACTCTCCAATATTGAACAAGCACCTCCCTTCAAGGCCATGCACAGCCCTTTGCTATGAAGTGAGAAAGACAAGTTCGTCCCGATTGAAGCTGGCAGTTCTAAGGAGCCAGGAGCTCTCCTGGGGTTCTGCATTCAGTTTTCTTAACGGAAAGAAAATTCTCTGCATAGATTTTCTCTCTGTAATACCATTTTAACCTGGAGTGTGGGAGCTGGGGGATCTGCACAGCTCCCCTGTGGCAAGGTCTCGAATCCCTAGGTGGTGGGAGCACAGGCAGGGGTCAAAATACAAACTCCAGGTGGGCTGTGAGACAGGTCTGCACTAGACTCATGTTAAATTCCTAGCTCTCCTGCAGAGAACTTAAGCCAAGGAAAAACCAGACTAAAATAAAAAGCCAGAATTCCCTGGACTAGGCCAAAACAGATCAGTCACTGCCCGTGAGATAAGAATACCCACAGGCGCTCCTCCTTGCTTCTGTCTTAGGAGAAAAAACCCCAATGCCTCAGCATACAGTAGGAGGCTGCACAGCTCCGGTTAAAGAAACAAAACAAAAGAAAACAAAAAGCTACAAGGCACATCCTTTGACAAAAACATGACCCAAGACAGATTTTTACTTCAGGCTGAAGGGAAAGTTTCCGAGATTTGCATACAAATGGTAAATATCCTCGGAACATGACTTTCATAAACAGGTCACTTTCCTAAGCACACAGACATCAGCTGGCAACAATTATAAAATTTTGAGTTTTACTAACTAGAAAATCTTACAGAAGTGTAACAATCAAGGCAATTGTTATCATTCTTATGAGTCTGAAAATTAATGTGAACTTCCCCCACAGGTTGGGCATTTAAGCAACTAATTCTTTAAACTTAAAGTTAAAAAACAAAAAAACCCTAAGCTTTAAAAATAACCTTTTAGAATTGCTCAAGATAAAAATACTCTAATTGTCAATACCTCAAATTTCCGCCTTAAATTACTCAATGCATTTGCCTTGCCCTTCCTTCCCTACTCTCTCCACTATTGGTTTATCTTAACATTCCTCTGTATTTTGGCACATTTCAAAAGCCTCACAAATATCCAAGAAAACGCAAATTTGCCCCAAGACCATTTGTAGACAATGATGTGGTTTTTTATTTTATTTTCCTGCTCTGATCTGGAAGAAGAGACTGGACCTGGTCCTGTCACTCCATCCCACTGCTCAGCACGAGGCACACGTCACACACTCAACTCTGGTCCTGAACAGCTGAACCCAGGAAGTTCACTCCAAACCACAGGGAACCACACGCACATTCCTGAGGGTAGAGTTGACAAGACCGTTTTCCTGGCTAGGAACTACCCTACAAACATCTACCTCCCACAGGCCCCACTCATTCAATAAACATTCACTGAGCATCTGCTATTAAGTGATAGGTACTAGACAAAACTTTGTGCTTTTGTTGTTGTTGTTGTAGTTTTTGGCCTGGGCTGGGTTTGAACCCACCACCTACTCCTTTGAGCCACAGGCGCCGCCCCTACAAGTGATGTTTTTTAAGAGGCTCACAACTTCAGCAAAGGAGAGGAATACAGTGATGAATCATATACATGGACTCCATGATCTATGTGAACAAAGTGCTTTCAGAGCAAACAGGGAGCTGGAAAAGGAAAAGTGAAAGGTTTCACGAAGGAGGCATCTGAGCTGGCCGTGAAGGATCTCAAGAGTAAAAGAGAGACAAGGGGATGGTGCACTACCATTCAGAGTCACCTTCACAGACAGAACAAGTCTGAGAGTTGAAGGAATGTGTATAAATCAAACAGTAATAAAGAAACCATCGAGTTTCTTTTTTTAAGGGAAAAAGGGTCAAAGTCAGATATATGTTTTAGAAATTGGGGTCGCCACAAAGAACAGATATATGATTCTGCCTTTAGACTGATGATACTATCAGCTCAGCTCTCACCAAAAGTTTTAAGAAAGAATCTTCATGAACAACTGTCAGAAGGACATGCAGGCCATCCAATTTTTAGTGTCTTCACAGGCCTTTAACAATATAGAATATATTCAATGGAAATTTTTGTTGTTGGGAGGAAAAAAGTTCTGTGTGGCTATGACCTTTTGTAATCAGTCTCAGTTTAAGTTCAGACCTATAATTTTATGTAAATACACTTAATTTCAGACAGAACTTTAAACTGCATGTGTGTCAGAAGGGTAAATACAAACTTAAAATGCATTTTAGATGGCCTTCAAAATTAAACCTCCCACTAGCCCTAATTTTAAGACTGAGCAAATGATGAGAAAGTCTATTGTGCTAAATATTTTTAACATATTTTGTTCTAAAAATCACAAAATTTTCAATTTCAATTGATGAGAGTTGAAAGAGCAGAATAGTTTTTCTTAAACCAAAATACCTTTAAATATTTTAAAAAGTGTGTTGTCTAAACAATGTTAATTTCAAATAACTGTCATTAATCTTAATGCATTTTTTTAAAAAAGAAGCATAACCTTCCATTTTATCTCCTTGAACTACAACCCTAAGAATATAAGTTATTGTAACGGGGCTGGGTAAAACCTCTCAGGTAGAATAGCTAAGTGGAAAATTCCTTCCAGTGGTGCTTACAACACAATCATAAGTAAATTTAAGATGAATTTCATTTGCTTTCACAGAAAGGCATGCACATGTTCCTTCATGATTCTGTAATTTTAAGGAACTATTAGTCAACAGGATCAGCAGAAGCAAACACGTTGTAACTGAGTGACTATTCCTTCTGCAAGTCTCAACAGCTCACTTCCTCTCACAGGAGACAGCTTTTTAATCCTCAACATTGATTGTACTTGCCATTTATGAAGAAATTCATTTACAACTGTAAGTTTTTGGCCCACACAGATATTCAAAACTGTCTATTACAAGTGCTAAGCAGAATGATCTTAAAGTGATGACCCTTTCCAGACATGGGCCAGTAGCAAGTCTCACCTATTAAGAAAAGGATCTGAGCTATTGGTCGTCATTGTTCTCAATTCCTGAGACATCCCGGGAGAAGACACTGGATTTTGAGTCCCACCATCCTGCTCCAGTGTTGGCAACTGGCTACGGAGAGCTAATTCCTAAAATAAACAAAACAGAATCTACTGATTAATATATTTATTGTTAGTTTTCAAGAAATAAAATGAAGATTAGGGTAACTGTGTATATCCAAAGCTGAACTATTAACATCCATTTTATAGATAATATCTTTGCCAATCAAAAAAAATACGTGTTCCAATCAGAATGACCGAACTCTTTCATATCCATTTCAAGTAACTGAACATTAAGTTCTACAAATTTAAATATGTAGTCTGTCTAGTTATATTAACCCCAAATACACTTTGCTACTTAGTTCCATTTACTTATTTTCCTTATCTTGCCAGATAGTCTCAAAGTCTCCTATGGTTTTGTGTGTTTGGCAATACTGATAGAACCAGTGGGAAGAGCCACGCTGACTGATGATTTGCTACTGTGAGACACTGGCGCTCCCTCCACCCAACACTGCTGGACACTGTACAAGCTGGGATCTCACTTTAACTTCAGGTTTTTCTATTTTGAGTTGGGAGAAAAAGAAAAACCAGACATCTAAAGTAAAAACACAAGTCCAAAGTTTCTCTGCCCTAATAACCATCATACTAAGATGGCAGGGCAGACAACAGTTTCTCAGCAGGACTCTACCTGGAAGCCTGAGCAAAGGCTGCTACCTTGGTTGTTCCAGAACGCCCACCTCAACAGGCTTCCGGACACCCCAGCCCCAGGGTTCTGTCTCATTTGCCAGGACAGTGAGGCCAGTTCATCTCACTCTAACCAACCCCTAACACCTTCAGTACTACCCTGGCCCCCCTTTTTGCCTTTTCATCTGTTCTCTGTTCCTGACCCTCCTAAGAATTTCCACTATGCCTTTTCAGCTATCATAAAAACCATCTCTGCTAGAGCCTCAGCTTCCTATCCTTTCATTTTTTTTAAATTTAAAATACAGCTTCTTATCACAAATGACTGGCCTTAAGCCCCCCACCCCCAGGGCTTTCCTGAGCCAAGGCCACTCATGAGGCACAGCACCCCATCTCCACTGCCTTTACTAAAACCACCACCTCTGGGTCAGAGGCTGTGGAAACATTCTCCTAGCTCTACACTGCCCCTTTTACCTACACTGAGTCTTCCTCATGCGAAAAGCACTTCTTTTTAATCAAGTTTATGACTTTTAGGTAAAAAACCAGGATTTCTTAACAAGAGGACCATGAGAGAATCCAGAGTCCGAACTTAGTTAAGAAAAATTATGCCTTAAGTTTTGCTAATTTTAACTTAAATTTTGCATTTTTGCCAATTACAAATATAGGCAACAAACACAGTAGTATTCATTACATCCCTAACTTTTATTTTTATTTATTTATTTATTTATTTATTTATTTATTTTTGAGACAGAGCCTCAAGCTATCCCCCTGGATACAGTGCCATGGCATCACACCCACAGCAACCTCCAACTCCTGGGCTCAAGCGAGTCTCCTGCCTCAGCCTCCCAAGTAGCTGGGACCACAAGCGCCCACCACAACGCCGGGCCATTTTTTGGTTGCAGCCGTCATTGTTGTTTGGCGGGTCGGGCTGTATTCGAACCTGCCACCTTAGGTGTATGTGGCTGGCACCTTAGCCACTTGAGCCACAGGCGCCGAGCCCATCTCAGAAGTCTTAAGTCATGTTTGCAACAATAATCAGTATTTTACTTCATTCTAACTACATCCATCACACTGGAACTGTCAGCGTCCATACACAGAACTCATATAACCCACTGCTGAAATTCCTGAACTGCCTTAAATCTCAATGGCATTGACCAACTTTGTCACTGTATTTCAATCAATCACTCCCTCAGTCACACTCTGGAAATGGTTTAAACATTTCTCTCCTAGCAATCTTACACGCTCTTATTCCATTGTTCTGACGAGTTCTAACTAGTTCCTGCATAATCTCACTCCCACTGTAGCAGCCTTCCAACCGCAGAGATTCAAACCCTTCTCTCCTTAATATTCTAGTCTACTGGCTCCCTCCTACAGTTTTTTTTTTCTCCTTCCTTACAAGCTTGAACTCACATTTGATCATTTGAAATATGTTAATAAGCACAGGCACCTTTCAGATTCCTCATAGACGTATCACTATCTCAACCCAGCAAATCCCAACCCTGAGTCAATGCTAAAGTGTCCTTGCTTCATTTTTATACTGAGATTGCGCAGAAATGTCAGGGGAAAGAAAATGACACAATCATCAGAAGTATTATCATCGTGAGTTAATGGTCTCTGGCCTGGGATGGGCCCTTCGCACCACTCACTGTTTCTCCTTCTTTTTGGTCCTTCGTTGGCTCTTTCTCACATCTTTATGGCCGATACCCCAAATGCTGCCCCTATCAAATCTTCCATCTCTTTCTCAAATAATGACACTAAGGCCGCCAGACACAATCCTTGACTTTCTGGCTCCTCGGACACCTTTTCCTGCTTCCTCAAATTATCTCCACTCATATGATCTTTGTAACTTTCCCCCAGTTTTGTAAAGAGTTAGTTTTCCATCCTCTTAGTTAAAGGCCCACGAGCTCTCCCAGTGCTTCTGGGGATCTCTTCTATTCACTTTCTCTCTGTCTCCTCGTTTGGTCCCTTCCCGTTTTCATCCTACAGAGTTAGAAGGGATTTTAGGACTGGGACAGTATGCTCCCCACACGTTGGCAGGACAGCACAGCCTCCCAGTGCCTTGCCTTTTCACTTACTGTGCTGTAAAACACCATTATTAGTTGAGATCTGGTGAAGGTACCACGTCTAGGTAACTTTCCAGGATGATCTCATCTCCTCTTTTAAGATTGGATTAGAAGCACAAATGTCAGGTTTTTAACACCTGAACATTACTTTAAAATATGAGGATGTATTTAGGAATAAACTTTTTTTTTTTTTTTAAAGAGACAGTCTCACTTTATTGCCCTTAGTACAGTGCTGTGGCATCTCAGCTCAGCAACCTCCAACTCTTGGGCTTAGGCAATTCTCTTGCCTCAGCCCCCCAAGTAGCTGGTACTATAGGCGTCCAGCTATTTTTTGTTGCAGTTTGGCCAGGGCCAGCACCCTACCCACCGAGCCACAGGTGCCGCCCCAGCAATGAACTTTAAAATGAATAAAATTATACACTCTGGATGAGCTGAAGCCCAGGATTCTGTTCCTGTAACAAAACATAGGAGTATTTGAGAATATTGTGAAGACTTTAATTTGCTTTTTAACAAAGGTATGCCCATGTTTCTGTTTGCCAAGTTCTGCACTCCTTGCAGCATGAACCTCCATAGTTGACACAGACTGGACATGTACCACATGTACGTTATCAGTACAGTAGGCCTAGTTTCTTATGTTGACCACTTCAATATGCTGACCAGTTTGTTACAATGCCTTGAGTGGTCAACTTCCAGAGGTTCTACTATATATGACACAAACCAGTAAGTCAAGACAAAAACAACTAAACTTACTATAATTTCCATATTATTTTTGGCAACTTTTTCATCAAGTTCCCACTTGAGTGCAAAGGACAAATGAAAAAATGTCACTTTATTTCCTGGTGGTGAGCGGGTGTCAGCATTATTAATCAAATAGAATGAACATGGCATGAGAATAAATAGTCCTCCCACGTCTGTGGGTTCAACCAACTGGGGACTAAAAATATTCAAGAAAAAATGGATGGTTGTGTCTGTACTGAACATGTACAAACTTTTTCTTACCATTATTCTCTAAACAACATTTTATAACAACTATGTATATAGTATTTATATTGTATTAAGTATTATACGTAATCTAGAGATGATAAATTATACATGAAGATGTGTGTAGGTTGGTTATATGCAAATACTATGCTATTTTATGTAAATGACGTGAGCATCTGTGGGCTTTTCTCGAAGCAATCCCAAGAGATGACGACATAATGGAATAAGTCAATGATACAAATAACATACATGCAGATTGTAGACGCTGTTCTCAAGGTATAAATATTCACCAAAGTTTTGAAACTTCTAGTTACAGTGAACAGAACAGGACTGATTAGATACCTTAAATTTTGAAAAGCTTCACAGGTATACAATTGATATACATCACACATAAAGTTCACAATTTGATGCATTTTAAAATGTAATAATATACCTATGAAACTCCTACTATAACCAAGATAATCACTCTCCAAATTTTCTCTCACACTCTCAGAAAGTAGCCATTTGCCTTATGTCATTACAGAACTTTATCAATGTTCTACAAATGAAATCATACAGTATGTGCTTTTTTCCCCACTTAATCTGATGATTTTGAGATTCATTCATTCTATAGTTAGTTCATTCCTTTTTATTGCTACCTAGTATTCCACCATAGGGATATACTACCCCTGTTTATACTACATCTGTCGATAGATACTTAGCTTGTTTACGAATTCTGGCTTACTGGAGACACCATAAAAATGCAGAAACTGAAAATAGTGTGTTTTCTAGACTAACTTCTTTCTTCCACTCCTTTCTTCTTATTTTTCTAAATTATGTGGACCAAAGCATGCATTTTAGATGAGGCCAAAATACCTTGATATAAGGGTTTTTTTTTTTTAATTCCATGGGAAATTATATTGCTATTTAAATAAGAAGAGGAAAATAAAGAAGGTCTAATGGCTTATGGTTGGGTCTCGAGTCAATAAAAATCCACTATATGAAACAGACAAGCTCATGTCCTTTATGAATCAACCTGGAAAATTCCCTCCAGACCAAGCTGGGACCACTGACTTTACTAACAGCACAGATAGCTCTGACTGCAAACGCATCCCAGATTAGCTAAGATTTATAAGCTCAATGGGAAAGGCCACCACATTTTTATATTATTACAGAATAAAATGAGCTAAAAATACTTGCCTCATCTAGAAAAAGCAAATAGTCTGAAAGAACTATCTGACCTTTAAAATACAGAACAGAATCATGATTAAGTTTTGGCTGAATTTCCTATAACTTGCTTACTTCCCCAGAGTTGAAAGTCTCTCAAACTATTTTTGTTACACCTTTGGGAAAAGAGAAGTTTGACAAACTTGTATTTTTAGTCTA